GGTGGGGGGACTCCAATCTCCCCACCCCACCCCCAGCCCAAATTCCCTCCGCTCCTTCCCCCCACCCCCAATTCTGAAAATAAGGCAGGGGGTGACAAATTACTGAAGCTGCTCCATGTTGAAGCGTTTTCATCTGAACCCTTGTGCAATGATGGTTCAGATTTTCATGGGTTCCAGCCCTTTAGCGCTCTACAGCTGTGCACTTCTGCACAGCGCTTTCAGGGGCCGAACTAAGTGAAAATTATCACTTCTGCCTCCGCTTTTAATCCTTTGCTGTATAAGGGTTCAACTTAAGGTTCTTTTTGCTTTCCTCATAGCCAGGCCAAAATACAGAAAAAAATTGCCTGGTGAAATCTGGCTGCTCCAGCGCACAGTCCAACGCAACAGATGGGCACTTCTCTTCTAACCCAACTTTTTAATGAGCGCGAACATGAAGACCAGGGCTTACAGGTGAATTTTGCAACCCTTGTCATATGTTGGGCAACCCTGTAAGGCCCTGAAACAAACAGGCATGAAACCACATCGTGAGAGCACCATATAAGCAAACTACCCAGATATTTTGGTGGGGATGTTGGCGTTAAAACAAAGGGCCTCCGTCCCGGCCATGCTTGCTTTGCATGGTCAGTACCTCCTTCTCCTGTCGCATGAGGGGAACGGATGGAATGCTTTGAGATCTATGCTCAAGTATCAGGGGGGTATTTTGGTTGCAACTCGGTACAGACACACAGTACAAGCCGGCCTCTCCGCCTGGGGCTCTACTATCTGTAGGCGAGGCTCTCTGGGTAGACGCCAAATCTTTTATTAGACCAACTAAATCGTTGGAACAACCTTATTTGCAAGCTTAACACCCTTCTTCAGGTATCGAGAGACTCTGTGGCTCCCACCACATGTTCTCCGAAGTAGAAAAGAAGCTGAACTATAACAACAGCCTGTGGCTCCCCGGCCCAGGTAGCTCCCCCGAGCGCGTGCAGCACCTAACACAGCAGGAGCAGCTCTGCGCGGGCTCGCCCGGCCAGCAGGGCGGCGAAGGCGGGGGGAGGGGCAGCTGCCGTGGAGCATCCACCTTGCTCCTGCGCTGCCCCACCCCTCTGCGGGCCGTACCACTTCCCCGCGCAGGAGCGGGCCGCACTCGTCCCTCTCTGGCGGCAGTGGTCCCGCCCGTCGCGCTCCTGCCCCTCCCCCCTCCGTTTCCGGTATCCCCGCCCCCAGGACCATGCAGAGGCGGTGGCGCTCGGCGGACGCGCGGCCTGACCAGTGGGTGCTCGTGGCCCCAGGTAACCCGCCTGTGTCCCTCTCCTGCTCGTCCTGGCCTCCCGCGTGTGCGCCGTGCCCGCTCCCGGCGCTTGGGCTCCTCGGAGACACGCGTTGCAAGCTCCCTGCTTGTTGGTGCGGGCCCTGCACCCCGTTTCCCGCCTCTTTTTGGGCTGTCTCCGCTCCCCTCCCCCTCCTTGCCGTCATCGTCTGCCTGAAAAAAAATTGACCCGCTTCTTAATGTCAGTAATGCTAACGCCGCACTTGTCCCCCTGGGAGAAGGCCGCTTCTGAGTTTTCAGGCCTTTTTTTTAACCACCCCCTCCCCAGTTCAAAGAGGGCAGAAGGCTTTTCCTGCTCTAGCCTCCTCTTTGCAATCTCGGGGTTGATCTTAGGAGTGTAGGTTGTAGCCCTGCTGGTCTGAGGGCGTAGGCAGACAAGGTTCTTTGGGTTAAATCTGGTATCTTTTTATCACACCAACTCAAAGGCTTTATCTTATCAATCATTTTAACTGCGCCAATGCCACATGACGCCCTTGAAAGGGTCTCCAGGGGGCCATGGCACCGTGGTTTGAGAATTACTGCCCCAAAGACATGGAAACAAAAAGCCAGCACTTTACTTTCAGTTGGATCCACCCCTGCATCAAATGCAGCGTGTGCCCAGAAGAGGCCTCACATTGGTGGACCCGGCTCACGCAACGCCTGTATGGGTCGCATGCTTCAGCAAGGCTCTTTGGTGCTTTTATCTAATAGCTGGTTGAATCAGCTTTAGGTAAAAGCGCCAAAAAGCCCTGCTGAAGTGCCCAATCCATATAGATGTTGGGGAGCTGGGTTAAACTGATGCACTTTTGCTTCCTTCACTGCCTTCCTCCCCCACCCCACATCTGTCAGTGGCCATAGTAACAGGAAGTGCTCAAGTGGTAGGGAATTAAGAGAGCAATTTCACAGACTTAGCTTCCTCCAACCTCTCCTTCCCCCAACACACTTGTGCATACTGACATACTAGATACACAGGACAGGGATTCAGTTTTTATTTTGACATCTATGCAGACTACAAATTAAATCTAAGTACTGTATCAAATAACTGTCTGTGCTAACAGATGTCCTTGTCCTGCAAATATTTACAAACGTGTTTAACGTCATGTATTGAAGTAGTCAGTTCTGTGCAGAAAGTTAAGCTCCAAAGTAAGTGTTTGCAGAATTGGAGCCAGAGTTTGTAACTTTTATGAAGCCAGGCAGTTTGCCTTGCAGAGTTTACCAGTTTTGCCAGCATGGTTCCAACAAAGTTGATTAAGTAAACCAGGCTTGTGCAAAGGGTATGAAGTTCAGTAGCACAGAGGTTTGAAAATCCCTTGCAGATATCTCCCAAGTTTCGCTGCTGACATGCTTGACCTATGGTTTGTTTTATGCAAGACTCTTGAATAAAATATGCTACTTGTCTGGTGTATTTGCTGAAATTCTCGTATGGCTCTGTGTGCAAAATTAGGTCCATGTTTTCCAGATTTCCAGAAGAGAGGTTTGCGTTTGTTGTTTTTTTTTTAAAAGTCTGGTGGCCAAAAAACCTTTATGAAAGTAACCTGTAAATCTAATGAATGAGTAAATAAATTTAGCTCTATCAGAACAGCTATTACTCTGATGGTAGTCTTTAATCATGGTAACTTCATAGTCTTCAGTGGGACTGTTCACTTAGGTAAGGATTACATAAATTGTGGAGTCCGTCTTGCTTTTATAATTCTTGTGACCCTTTTGAGGGGCAGGTGAATAGCAAGTTTTATGTTGGGTAGAGGAGTGGCCATGAGTATACAGGGTGGAAAGAGACTAATTTTTGTGTTTGTCCATGAAGCCCAAAAGAGCTAATTATTACTTTTTCTTCCTGAAATCTAGGTGCATCCTCAGGGTGTAATTCTGCAAATACTTAACCTTGTAACTGCTCATTGGAGTAGTCTGACTACTAGAATAGCTCATTTGGGTAATGATGTAATGTACCACCCTGCACAATTTAATAGCATTTCCACCTGGATATGCATCATTCATCTTGCTTTGCTTGTGACTTTTTACACTAATGGAGATGATGGCTTGTTCTGCAAAGAGGCCAGAGGTCTTGGAATCAATCTAGAAAGAAATGGGAAACTGAAATTAGACGACTTGTCAGCAGGGTGAAATTTAAGCATTGAGAAATGAAACAGAAACTCACTTCCTAAATCCTGTGTAGTTCGACATCAGTCAAGCCTCAAGTAGCACAACAGCAACTTCCTGTACCAAAATAGTATAATATACAGTGCTACAAAGTTGAGGTCTTGAGATTGCAGCTATTGAAACACATGAGTAAGTTTGCACATGTGAGTTATCCCATTGTCTTGAGAAAGTTTTAATGATTTTACTGAGACCGTTGAACATCTATCACATAGTTTTTAGTTGCTAATGGTAAATTGTATTGGAAGCACTATATCAATCTTCCAGAAATATGATAAAGCTTAATATGAAGTTTCTTCATGAAAGTTGGTGACCCGTTTTTTCCATATGCTTCAACACTAGAAATGTCAACATAATATCAGGACATGAAACAGAACTTGAGAAAGTGCTGAACGGTGCATCTGGAAGGCTGAACTCTGAATATTTTAGTCTCTAGAATATGTGTGGTTATTTTGTCTTGTAAATTGACCCTTTTGCTTTCTGCATATAAAATGCTTGGAGTTCACTGATAACAATGTATGATTGAACCAAGGAAACAAATTTCACGTTTGCTGCTTGAATTTTACATTAATTTCAGTTTTCTTGGTTCTCGGCTGCTTGCAGGACCTGTACAATCAGACCTGTACAATCTTGCAGAACTGGCCATGATCTCAGAATTAAAGTCACGTAAAGGTAATGCATGGTCAGTTGGAAATTGTGGTATTGCTTTATCCTGCGGCTCCATCCCATTCCCGGCCCCCAGGGTCACATTCACTGCCCTGGCTGGGCAGCCCCTGCCCCTGGCTCACTCTCCCTCACTGTGGGGGCCTTGATCTGCCTCCCCTCCCTTACTGGCAGGGTGCTGCTCTCCAAGCTTCAGGGCTGCATTCCTGACTGCATGCATGCTGCGGCTGCTCACAATCACACGGCATTTATCAGTGACATTATCGGCTACACCAGCCAAAAAAACCCAAGGGCTGATAATGTTAATTTTCCTCTTATCAGTGCTAATCTGATATGCGACTGATATATCGGTGCACGTCTAATTAAATTGATTCAGATTTTGTTTATGTTTGCAAGTTTCCACACCGATGATTCTGTAGAAATTTGGGGGGGAAGAATTTTTTTTAAATCTTATTTTTAGAACTATCATTTGAAAAAAAGTGTTTTCGTTGTTTAAGAAAAAAAGGAGCAGTTGAGTCGCAGCTTCTTACTTTTTCCTTTGCATGCTAGTTGGCAGGTTTTCTGAGAAAATGTCGTATATGCCAAAACTACGACCAAGGCAAGAATAAATGGACAGTGCTGCCAAACCATAGGGCATCATCATGCAGAAATGAATCCTAGGGGCTTTCAAATGAGACTAAGGACCTTTTGTCTTTGTGCAATAAGAGAGGAAGGAACAGACTTGAAAAATCTGGGTCACTGGAGAAGTAGTCGTATCAAAATATGCTTTGTGCTTATTGCTTCTAAAATAAATGTGATATATAATTAAATCTCAAGATGACAAATTATAGTTATTTTACATTCTGACGTACTAGCTCATAAAACATTTTAGTTTTATTAAGTTGTGTGACCTAAAATTAAAGCATGATTAGTTCAATTTCTTCTGCTACAAAATAATATGTACTACTAGGGTGTTAGAAAGCATTATCCAGGAATTGCAATTAAATATGAAATTTAAAGAAAATTAAAGAGTGAAAGAGTGCAAGTTGAACTTTATATTTCTGTCTTTTCAACAATGTTCCCTAGACAAGTATGCTTGCAATGATCAGATAGCAGTTATTTGCGGGTTTTTTATTATTATTTTCTTAAAACAATATGGGATACTTTTATATAAATGTATATCATCTTTAAAAAGTGACCTTGAATAAATTTAGGCTGGATATTGGAAGAAGGCTTGTAACTATCAGAACAGTGAGGTTCTGGAACACAAAGAAATTGTGGGCACGGTAACCTCGTTATATTTAACATAGAACTCCATCAGTTTCTGAAAGGAATTATATGAATTGATTAACTGTGATATCAAGGGACTGGACATGTGAAACTTATTGCCAAAGGATGTTGAGGAGTCCAATAGGATAACTGGGTTTAAAAGGGATTAGACAGATTTATGGAGGATAGATCCATTGGGAACTATTAAATGCAACAGTCAGGGATGTAACCTTTCCATAGTGACTGAGATAATATGACAAGGAATGGATCACTCTACACTCACCATGGTGCATACATTTTTCTACTAAAGCATCTACTGTTTGCCATTGTTTGGAGAGAACGAATTGGACTAGGTGGGCATTTGACTGGTCTGAACCAGGCTAAAAATTCTTACATTATTGTGGTGTCATAAAGAGAGCACAAACTCTAACATTTCAGAAGTTTGAACATCATTGAGAAATGAAATGCAAAGCTGGAATTTTCAGAGAAGATCCAGCTGATGCACTTGCAGAAAGAAACCTATGTTGGCATGTTGAAAAGATCTGGTTGGCTCAGGCAGTCATGGGCTCAGTTGCTCCTGGTCCCATACTGCAAGTCAAGAAATCAAGTCCCAGCTCTGATCCTGGTGTTTTCCAAGTCATTTGATATTTATGTAAATTATGCTAATGCATAATTACCTCATTAATTATTTTTACCATTGAGACCCAGTACGGTTTCACATCTTAAGCTTTAAGCAGTACTTGGGTATCTTGGTGTCTTAAGTGCAATTCTCTTTGACTTTGATTGTGTCCCTGAAAGACTATGGACACAAAAATTGGAACACTTTCTCTTCCTCCTTGCCATTTTTTTAGTTATGTCTACACCATGTCCCCAGTGCTTTTGAGCAGGGAGGCTGCTGAGCAGGCTTGTTTCCTCCACCCTTGATTGCATATTCAAAGCCCAGTAACACTGTGGTGAAGCAGCTCCAGGTTCCTCCCACCATGGCCACCCTCTAGTGTGCTTGAGAGTGGTTCTGCAGGTACCCTCCAGGCAGCCTCACAGATTTGTTTTCAGGTTTGCTGTGCAGAAGTGGATGGGGGGTTCTGCAGTATCCTTGGGAGTATTGCTCCATGAGAGTGCTGGGGACATGGTGTTATGCTTAGGTGATGTTGAAGCCTTGGTGCTAATATGTGTTTTAGCCTTAATGCTAACCTGAAGGCATGTTACAGTTTTTCAGGGATTGAGCAGGATCTATAAGACCATTCTTGGACACCTAACAGCTAGAATAGGATCCACCCTTTAGATGACCGAAGGTATTTAGTAGTCTTAATCAGGCATTCTAACAGAGCAGTAGCATTTAAAAGTTGAAGTGTGGCATGGTAGCTGAAATACTTGCCATAGTCACATGCACTAAATTAAAGCCACCAGCTCTAAGGGTGTTTATACACATGCTCTGGGAGTGGGTGTGTGTGTGGTGGGGGAGTGGCTTTAATTAAAGTGCCTGGAGCGTCATGTGTATCTGCGTCCCCACACTGAAAAATGGTGGTGGGGGGCGCTTTACCTAAACCTCATTGAACGAGCTTTAGTTAAAGCACCCCCACTGGAGTCTGCTGGAGTACGGTAATTACCAAGCTCCAGCAGACGCAATTAATTAAGTCTGCTCTGTTGTGCTGTAATTACAGCGCATTGGAGCAACCTTGCTGCATGTCTGTAGGCACCCAAAGGTTCCTAATTTGCACATGGTTCATGAATAAATTGAGGTTATTGGATTTGAGAGAGGGCAGTTTAGGATTGTATATTAAAACTTTAAATAGACTTTGTCAAAATGTCTCCATCTTACACGTGCTGTGCAAAGGGTGCTTAGGCAAGCAGGTCGGCAAGAAATGGAAAAGAGTTACAGTTTTGCAGATGACATATGTTTTTAAATAAAATCTTAACTTTCTATTTCCAGACCTTTTAATAAGCCATTCTTTTGGGGAAAAAAATTCTCAGTGTTCTCTTAAGGGGCTTTTCCTCGTATGTAATTGATAGATATTTACAACCTTATACTTGCTTTGTTGGCAGCTTTTTGCCTGGGAATTCCATATAATTTGATGTCAGCCTATTAAATAGAGGACTCTCTTTACATTTACTTATGAAATATATTTTACATTATTCATAATTGCTTCATGTGTATGGGAGCTTTATATTTGTTTCCAAATTGTTAACCTGACAGTACCAGCTAACACATTTTTATTACTGTATTCAATATCTGTCTCTGTCCGTCTGTCCTGAAAATACTATTGTAGATCAATTGACAGCTGATTAATTTTCACTTTCCTTTGTTTGTATACATATATTTTTTCATATTTCTGTGATTGAAAGTTTGACCTCAAGGAAATGTGATAAGCTTTCCCCCAAGATTTTAGAGTGGGAGAAGGTTAAATGTGAAACAGCTCTAGACGCTTTTAAAAAGTAACTTAAATTATTTGTTTTGATCTTATCTTAACATTGACCTGCTTTAAAATCAGAGACACTTCCAGAACAGGGAATGCAGAACTATCAGAAATAGTTACTTTGGAATAATTCCTTAATATACCTGTTTTGCTTCATGTTTTCTAGGATTTTTTTTTTTAATTTCAAGTTCAGGATAACAAAATTTCCATTTTAGATTTCATTAAAGCGGACACTTCCTTCTGGAATATTTTTAAAGACTGTTCAGTGTGAGTCAATGTACACTACTTGGATCATAGCTGGCCAACACATGCCACAAGTGGCATTGGTAGTCTCTGTATGTGGCATGCAGTAGTTCAGGGAGGAGGTGAAGAGCAGAAAGCAGAGCAGCAGATCAGGCAGGGAAAGGGGATCTGGCTGAAACTGATGCTCTTTTCATCTTATATTGGGTCTAAAAAAGAGCAGTAATCAGATAAGTATCTTCTAGATGAGTAGGGATCAACTTTTTTTGGCAAGCATGCCACCAAATAGTTCCATTCCTTCCTCAAGTGCCACTCTGATCCCCTTGCTCAGTTAGCTGCTCTGCTTTCTACTCCTTAACCAAGCTGCTTCTGCGCTGCCTGTCTCCCGTAATCTGTCATGTACCCTATACACAGGGTGCCTGTGTCACTTGAGGTACATGTGCTGCTGCATTTTGGCCACTCATTCCTAGATGATTCAAATTCTTAGAGGCTTCTTAAAGAATATCTTTTCCGTATACTTCCACATAACTGAATTCTGGAAAGCCTTGCCCTTACAACACATCCTCTTTACACATGTTTTGTCTTCAGCGATTAAATGTTTAGGGCCAAGCATTTGAACTGCATTCTAAACTACAGAAGAGCTCTTGTTGGCTTCAATGCTGATCAATCGATATGCTGTCTATAGCTTTTAGGAGAAAAAGATTATACATTTCTAAAAAAGTAAATTAATTCCAAGTGCATTGGTGATGTATGGCAGAATGGGAAATAATTTTCAATTTATGAATATATAATTCTTTTCAGAATCTGTTACTGAACTCCCAGAGAAACCTGGTGGTGGACCTTTGTTTACAAGACTGCGCAATCCTTGTACAGGCAAGTATGGAACATTGACGTGATGTTGTTTAATGTTATAGTTGATTCTGCTCCCTCCACCAGAAGATTAATACTTTGCAAGTTGAAATGATGATGATAGTGTGAATATCCTCTGCCAAAGATACTGTTGATGATGCCAGATAGTTAATTCAGTGCAAACATTTAGGATTTCCTTTATAATTTTAGTTGGTGGAACTATTTATTCAACAGGAATATTGGCATCACAAGAAGCAGTATCATTTCAGTTCTTTCTTTTAGATGCATTAATTTTAGGGGGATCCACGGTGCAGGGTTTTATTTTTAAATCCAAAATTTGATTCTTCATCTATTCATTTTATGCTATAAAGCAAACAAGCAGAGTTAAAAGAAACGACTTTACTCTGCTTGCCAAACTTTTTGGGGCTTTTCATTTTTAACTCTCATTTTCTTTTTTACTCAGTCCAAAGGGTGGTATCTCTTTTCTTGTTAGTAGATGATGGTCTACCTTGAATTAGAAACATATTGGGAAAACCAAATAATGTAGAAAATGTAATGAAATTCCCACCAGTCCCCCAAACAATCATTCTCTTTTTCTTTAGTTGTATAGCCAGAGTATCTGTAAGCTGCTTTTGTATAATTTTTTCATTAAAATAAACTGAATCGGTTTTATTTTATATTTAAACAGAAATTCTTTACATTTAAAGTATTATGTTTGAGAAATCTGGTTCAGTTTTTTAAAATTTTCCCTCCATCAATTCATTTGCTTTCTGTAGTGGGGTTTTTTGGTTTGTGTTTTTTTACAAAAAAGGTCACCAGTTACATTTAGGATGCTACAACACACTTGAAGAACTTAATTTCAAGTGCAGATAATTTACTGGTTGCCACTGATGATTAAGGTGGAGATTAATCAAAGACAAAAGATGCAGAATGGGAAGATATCGCTAATTCTTTGATGTTTTTTAAAATACTTTATTTGTAATCTATCTTTACAAAATATAGAAACATTATATCGAAATGTATAACTTCCACCTGCTGCACTGAATTGGTGTTGCGGTTTATCTCAGAATTGAAAAAGGTGGAGGCAAATTTACATTTTACAGTGGAAGAAGCATTCTGTTCATCTTGTAGAATCAGATGCTGGCTAGGGCAAAAGCTAGAAGTTTAGTTATTGACCTCAAAGTCTGAGTGTGTGACTTTTAAAATGAACAGTTCTGTGTTAGACCTGTATGGATCTGTGATTGGATAAGTTAATACAAGGTTTTGAATGGAAAGGCAAAGTAACACCCTCTTAATGCCTGTTTTCTCATGTTTGCAGTTTAATAGTATGTTGTTGATGCCAAGTATTGCATAGATACCCATTTGATACACACAGCTTGCTATATAGTTACCACAATACTTATTGGTAAGTTAGTTAATACAAGATGCTGGGTACCTTTACAGATAGATGAAAAGAGATTAAACCTTTGTCTTCAAGCATTCATAATCTAAGGCTTCCATCCAACAAGTGAGAGGTTACACAAGAAATCTGTAGCAGAGTGGGAGATAGGTGCCAGGTCTCCTGAGTCCCAAATATATCTCCCTGCCCTGTAGAACTGCCCTTTCTGATCTGAACAGGGTTGACTGGGTGGTAGTGTGCAATTTTTGTGGCTAAGGACAAGTAGCATTTCTTGATTTTGGTCTAGCATGTTTGCATGGCATGCACATAGCTTGTTCCAAAGATTAGCCTCCTAGCTATAGTCTCTACAGTCTGTATTAGCTGTTGAGATCACCACTACACCTGAGCTATGCCATATGTGGAAGAACTTTTTTTCTTTTAATACATCAGTGTGAATAGCACAAAAATGTAAATAATGTAAATGCAGTCTCTTGTGATAGGCTCTTTGGGAGTAGGCTGATCCTTGGCACTGAAGCGCATAAATTAATGACTGAAACCTCCACTCCCTTCCTTCCCCAACAGTAACAGATGGAGTATTTAAACCATAACCTGAGAGGGCAATAAATGTTTGGTAAACCCTCTGGATGTAAAAAACCAACCACTTCCAGGAATCCATGTGCCTACCTGTTTAAGCTGGGGTTTGCTGGTTTAGATTCCTAGAAATAGTTATTTATGACAGAGCTTCCCAACCAGTACTGGACCGCGAAGGGTTGGCTGCCGGGTCGTTTGTCTGCCCAGGTTAAAGTTGGGCAGTGGGGCAGCCCCGGGAGGGAGGCAGCCAGCTCAGTGCATCCTGTCCTGTTCCCACCATCGTGGCCATGCCCAGTGAGGCACTGCCCACGCAGCAGCTACCGCAGCCTGCGCTGGGCTGGGCAGGGCCCCCCAGGCCCAGCTGCGGCTGGGAGTGGAGGGATGCAAGCAGCGAAATGCCCAGGGTGGAGGGCAGGGAGGTGGCTCTGCTGCTTGCTCCTAGAGAAGGCAGCGGAGCCCCTTCTTCCCAGGCAGCCCCAGCTGGGTCCCCCCAGGCCGCTGCCTGTGCAGACCTTCCCTGCAGGGTCCCTCGATGTCCACAGCTTTGGTGCCCCAACCTGATCCAATCCTTGCAACCTCCCCCCCCAATTAAATTTGAGTATGCAAATTAAATTTAAATATGTAAATTAGGCTTCTTCTGTAACTGGTCTACCAAAATTCTTTGAGTGAGTTTGCCGGTCCTCAGTATAAAGAAGGTTGGGAACCACTGATTTATGGTAACTGCAACAGCAGTTGTGATGTCATCTTGGAGAGAACCCTGCCCTGAGATTCCCTGACAGAACTCATGATTTGTACATACGTGCAGCATTGAGGCATTGTAAAAAGAATTATTATATCACAGATATTCTCACCACCCATGTTCATTCTTCACAAAGTTGATGGATTGAGTACCCTGCCAGAACTAATTAAGCGTTGGACATTAGTTCTGGCTAAATCTCAGTGACACCTTCTAAAATCCTCATTGATTTTTCCTTAATGTTTATGGACAATGTTGACATTGTTCACAACTCATATAAGATGCAACAGAATGATTCATTCCCCTTTAATCACCCAAACTAATCAGAAACATGGGGAGTTTGCTGCAGGAGCCTGAAACAAAACGATTTTTCTTTTCTGAGCTTTTGAGATACTGGTAGCTATCTTGCAGCCCCCCTTCTTTAAAGTCTTCGTTTGCTTAATTTATCCCTTAATCTCCCCATTTACAGTCACCTACCATTTATACTAACACATAGACTGGAGGAAAAAACAAAACAAATAACAAACACAACTAAGTGGTACTTGAAGAGTTGGTATTCTTATAGTTCCTTGCCCCCTGATTCGGATATTTCTGAGATGGCTTCAAAAGAGGAAGAGGAAAATACTGGATACCATCTCCCACTCATACAGACAAAAGCTAATTTCTTGTGTAATCTGATTTGGGTTTGAATCAAAGGCTTTGCATTGTAAGATGAACTATTCACACTTTTTATTTATTGATTTAAATTCAGTTGGGATTATAAAGCTGGTAAATGAACATCTGTATATAATAGTTTTCTTTGTCTAAGCTTTCTTTGTAGTTACAGGTTATGTAGAATGTATGTATGTTTATGTATATATTAGGCACATTCTTCAGACGTATTGGATATTCTTTTGATTTTTTGTGAAAGCTTACAAATACAAACCAGATTTCTTTTAACAGGAGACGCAGCCCTCTACTTATTCAATAGCAGTGCACAGCAGCTGTTTGAAGTAAAAGCTTTTCATGAAGAATATCATTCTTGGTTTATAGGTCAGTCTGTTCAACAGGGTGAGTAACATTGTGTATCCTCTCCCTACCCCTATTTGTAAGTAATATTTGTACATTACTCCCACCCATAAATTTATGGGTGCGTCTATTAGTTGCTGAGTGTAGCTGCACTACATCTCTACCTTCTGAAGCATTCGCATGCCATCTGCATTTAGCCAGGGCTGGGGCTTTGTGGTCTTCTCTTTAAAAGACTGCCTTTGGCAGTTTCAATTAGACAGATGTTCATGTGTCTTGCAAAAAAAAAATCTAATTGTGTTAAACACAAGTGCCACAAAGTGTTTAGCTTGTCTTGTCAATCAACTTGACAAGCTCTTGTTGTGTATACATATATTTTAAGTTTAGAGGGAAAAGGATAGATGAGCCTGAGCAAGACAAAGCCTCATTTTAGCAGTGAAATGAATTCCAAGCATTGAAACATTTGGTCCCACTTGCTTTCATCTGCCACTGTGGTCCCCAGAAGAGATTTGGGATTTTAAGATAATTCATTTCTGGGGCTTGTTTCTCAGAGTTCCATTACTTGGAGCAAGTTTTGTTTGTAGCCATTACCTCATCCTAGCCCATCTTTATAAACAGAAGGTAGATGATCTATTTGCCCTCCTTTCTGAGCATGTAACAGTACGTTGCTGATAAGAAAATCACTGGATGAAGCTTTATTTTCCAGTCAAGCTACAGATCATGCAGAAGCTTACTCATAAGATCATCTTGCATCCTGTTTTACTTGAAGTTTTCTAGCAGGAAATGTAATATTTTGTGAGAGGGAAACAAACTGTTTTTTAAAGAAAATAATATTTTTTAAAATTATAATATATAAGCACTTATAATTTTTAAATTTTATTTGCACAGATGCACAGGGTGTTTTACCTGTACGGGGAGCCAAGAGAGTGGGCCTGCTTCATGTGACTACTCATTAAATTTTCCAGTTCCCCCTCCACCTTTTGGTTTGGCCCTTGAGAAATAGCTAGCCTCAGGAGTCATCACCTGAGCTTTGTTTAGGAGCCTGGAAAATTTTCCTTCACTACTTTGATTGTTGCAGGGGGATCTGTAAAACTAACCTCAGAAAAAGAAAGGGGAGTTGGGGGCGGTTATTGTTTGTTTTGTTTTAAGTTAATTCTTCAGCTTTTTAGAAGGAGCATGGTGTTCAAATGATACATCAGTCAGCAGTCAGAAGCAGAATAGCTATGTTCTTCCAGTGCATTGTAGGGGTTAATTAGTCCTGCTGAATGACAGAGCCAATTAATTGATCTTCCCTTGACACTGTACAGACTTGTCTTCTATGCTTCTGGCATAAGCAGTAGCTCACCTGGCATAGCGTAGTGTGTTAGTGGACACTGCTGCCAGACAGAGTAAGCTTGCCATGTAATCATATCTTGTGTGTCGTATTTTCTCCCTGTCAGTTTTGCCTAGTGAGCCTTTCAGGTTCCTAAATGGGGTTTCCCTTGCTTTCTTTCCATTTGTCAGAGGTACCTGTCTGACATACGGTACTTCTGCTTCTTCAAGGGATTTGAATACCTGCATCACTTGAAGGAGGCTGTACTCATGTTTGCTGTGCCCATGCATATTGTATGCTCTCACTAGCCCATGTTTTTCTTTATAGACCATTCTCAGTGATCATGAAGTACCAATAGACTGCTTTTCAGGCACTAAGATATCAGCTATAGCACTTACACTTTTTCCCTAGCAATTTCAGTATTCTGGGTAACGTTAGCCAACAGGTCATTTTGGTTAGCCAACAGGTCATCTTTACAGCATTCTCCATCTTCAGTCATTCTGGAAATTCAGTTCTCTGCTGCCTTCCAAAGATCTGTCATTCTAATTGCCTCTTATCATTATTAACATATTGTTTTATTACTGCATGGGTTCTTCTCTCTTTTTCTCTGCAATATATTACTAGGTTAATTAGCTACTGGAAATCTTTTTAAGGGAGCAAATGAATAGAAGAGAGATGCATTGTAATGTTTTGTATGTTCTTCCTCCAAAGGCAGAAAAACCCTTCATTTTAAAAAATATTGCTTTGTCAAACAAATGATGCTTTCATCAGTCAGATTAGAAGAGAAAAGAGATGATTGTAAGAAAGAACTAACATGGCAGTCAAACTCTAAAGTGAAGAGAAATAGGAAATAAATATACAAAACAATAAAAGAAATCATAACCTATAATTTGCAAGTGGGCTTCTTTCAGTTACTGGGTCTTCCATTGGAAATTCAAAATTATTTCATGTAGAAGAATAAATATCTAATTAGTTGTAACTGCTGGTACAAATCATTTGTAAACTTTTTTTCCAGTAACGTTAACTTTAAGAGTTGGGAAATACTGAAGATTGTTTGAGGGGAGTGTTCTTTTTAAATATTTCTTCCTAGACAAAGTTGCATAAGTCTATTGAAACATTCCCTTTTATAAAATTAAAACAAAAAATCTTGGCTTCAGTCAAACCTATAGATTTACACTAACTTTTGGATTGCTAATTAATGTCAGAATGTCATCATTTGTTGGATTTTATTAGTGAATTTTCTTCGTGTTGCACTGTTTCCAGTTATCTGTTTTGATATGAAAAGCCTGATTAAGCCACCATCCTGCAGTGGGCTCCATGTGGGCAGAAATTGCTGTTTCAGTGCTGGATGGGGCTTTCATTTGTATCTTAACTGTATACATTGGTTTGGTTTTCTGGTTCACTGAAACACTTGGTTCTGCCTAAGATGCTAGTTGGAGAATTCTCACTTGCAGGATCTCCAGCCTTCAGAAAAGAGGCAGAGGCAGCTGTAGCTTCTTTTGCATCTTTTTCTACCACTTGTCTCTGCCTCCTGCTGCAGAGCCAGCCTGATATAAGTGGAGGGAAGGGATGGTCATGATGAAGTGAGGATCCATCATGACTCGTTCTCTTCTCTTCCTGCTGTAAGTTAATGCCGTCTTTAGGCAGAGCAGAATCATGGACCAGCAGTCAGCTGCCTGGTGACACCTCCTTAACCCTCCCCATATCCACTGTCTTTCAGTTTTGGCTATATGCAAATGAGAACTGCACTTCCCTAAATTTATCAAACAAAAGCACAATTAGAATTTTCATTACTGTTCCACTAAAGTGCTGCATCTGCTAGGTCTAAACTTATGAGGAAATAGTCACGTTTCATATATTAATGCTTAAAGGCACTGCATTTTTTTACATGTATTTAGATGGACGCCTATTGTTTGCAACGCCAATGGATCCTTTATTTCTTATACTTTGGTACCTTATAACAGCGGAGAAAGAGGTAAGTGTCCTGGGTTGTTGATTGGAAATTTTAGAAAAAAGTTATTTCTGTTGAGAAACTTAATGCTAAATAAAGCATAAATTACATTTTGCCTCAATATACATGCATATCCTCTACAGTATGTTGATATTTTTGATGTTTTGTCATTAAAGTATGTTATAGTTAAGGTTACAGTTTGACTTCTCTCATAACTGTATCTTTTTATGCTTATAGTCCTTCTCAAGTTTCTTCTTTTCATTTGAAGTGTTCCATAATTGATCTCATCCCAATGTGAACATTTTGGAAACTTAAGCTGAATTCACTCATCTGTTTTGTTTTTTTTTTATCACTAAAGGTGGGGAAAAGAGTGTTGTTGTCTTTCTAGGGACACTTTAAATTTTCCCCCCCTAGGTTGGTGAGCCTTAAGATAGTTGACTTTTGTAAACTGAAATTTTTCAGGTCTGATCTTTCCTGAGGCTGGATCTCTAAACAAGTTTTCCTAACAAAATATTAAATAAAGAAAAACAGAATATTTGAGAAATCTGTGTTGTGATTTCTTGGGACAATGTTTCCATTAAGTTAAGGTTCTGTTGCCACAGCTGCTTAAGGTCTGTGACTACAATTGCACGGGCCTCAAAGAGAGTAAAAGCTTAAATTGAATATATGCAAAACACCTCGAAATGACCTAAAAAACTTCAAAGCACTATTACTTCATCAGGGTTTCATGTGCTGGCTAGATTTTGTCTCAAAGCAGAGAATCCATTCTGCCCTGATAAGTAAAGTGAGACTCTAACTTGGTGGATATTGGACTGTGGAGTGATGAGCTGCCATTTGGCATAGAACTGAATAGCTCCCATCATGAATTGTGATCAGCTTTGGGGAAGGGAGGACTTCATATTTATTGGGACAAAGAGGAAACCTTTCTGTGGCAGTTTAATCTTTACAAAGCTCGAATTGACTGTTTTGAGCATCTTTCAGGAGCTGGTATGTAAATAATTCCTGATGTGGCACTTCAATGAGCAAAGAGATGATGAAGTAGTCAAAGATCATTAATACATGTATTAATCATTGCTTCTTAAATTCTCACATGCATTTTAAAATACAAGCAGTCAGTTAATGAGTATAATCTCTTGTCTGTGTACTAAATAAGTTTATCAAACCAGAAGAAGAAGTCAGTCCTGCCAGAGAGAGGCAGCATTTCATTTTATGTATTCCAGTGCAGGTGGAAAATAATTATTTTTGTGGTTTTAAAATATGGATTTAATTAATAAAAATCTAACTTTTGAGCATATTCTAGAAATCAAAACTGGCTAGGTGTTTTATTATCCAGTAATATCCTATGGCACTGTAAGTATTTTATCAGTTTAAGGATACAAACAAAGTAAGCAAATATGCTTTTTAACATATGGCAGGGATGTCAAATATGTGACCCATAGTCTGGATTAGGCCATCCAGTTCTGCTTCAGTCTGGGCTGTAGGAATTTGGGGAGGATGGCCATGGAAGAGTGGGGTCTGTTGCAGAATGTGGGGTTTTACAAAAAGGGAGGAGGGGGAGCTGCTGCTCAGGATAGCTCAACAGCTCTTACGCTAACATACAAGGGCAAGAGCCTGTGGAGATACTAGTATAGAAAAAACATTTCAACCATTCACAATTGTTACAGTGTAAAAGCTGCTGCACCCTCCTGAGCACCCCGTTTCAAACTGCTCCGAGTGTACATTTGTTTATGCCCTCAGATTCATTAGTCCTTTAGATTGTGCATAAGGTTTCTAGTTTTTTCTTTATTTTTATTTTCTCATAATCATCCTCATGTTTTGATTATCCCTGCACTTTTGTGCTAGAAGCAAATGTAAAATCCTTTTCTTAACCTATTAATCTAAATGTTTGAGGGGGTTTTCTTTGTATTTTGTTTTTTTTTCTGAATTCTCTACCCCAGTAAGAGGATTCGTTCATTATGGAAGCAGTTTACCCAGCTATTTTTGTCATCTCACCTTAACTAGTGTAATGGCTTCAGCTTTGGCTTCCAGAAACAATTTACTTTCTAAGGATGGAGGACTCACTGACCCTTTGTACTGATGCACTCAAGAACCTTTCCAAAAGGAAAGCTTCCAGTTATGCCAAACTGTCCTGAATTATTATGCATTGTAATGTCTGGCAAGGGTAGGGTTTGTCTGATGGTTTTCTCATCTACAGTGCTCTTTTAGCTGTGCCAGAACCACTTTATGTATGACCTCAGGCCAAACTGGAACGGACTGCAGAGGTGAAAGTTTAGTACTGTGTTCCATAAGCTGCCCTGATCCTCTGAGATTCCTCTTTCTAGAACGAAGAAAAGTAAAACGTGAATGAAACTTATGACACTATGTAATCTGGCGGGTTGTGGTCTAGAAGAAGCTATTGGCACATGTTAACTATGGTACCTCTTATCCTCCAAAAGACAGTCGATGTATTTTGCATTAGTTGTCCCCACAGTGTTTTAAAACTGGGCTTCTAAGGACATTAATTGAAGAGTTCAGCACTTTGCAAGTATTTACTGTTTTGAAATCTGTATTTATTGTTTGTTGCTCTGTAATCGGTTTATGAATGTCATGTGATACCACTTGCAACTCAGCCTCCTTTGTAATCCTTGGTTTTAAATCTAGTCATAAAGTATTTAATGCCTTATTATATTGCTATTGTTGACAGTAACGTTTTTATAATCCTTTGATCTTTTTCAGCAAGGAAAGTTTCAACCGCTGAACCAAGTTGTGGTAGATCCAGAGTTTCCTAGCTGTACAATGTTACTACAATGTGCAGGAGTTAAGCAATTGCTACAACATATTACAGAAGAAAAAGGTGCATAATTTGGGGTGTTGATTTAGCTAACAAACTATTACTTAAGTTGTTGGTTGAGTTCTAAAGGGTATCTTTATTGTTTTTTAATTGACATCTACACAATGGGACCAGAAGTCACTCTGTTGCTAAGCAGATAACATTAGATGCCTGCCAACTTTTGCACTGTACTTTGTCTAGTATCTATGATATGTCTTTGTATGCTGCTGCATGATCTGTTAGGCTTTAGTACTGAAATTCATTCAGTGGGTAGATTATTTTCCCAAAAACTTACCCCTCCTGTACTCTGATTTTACTGCCATGCCACATAGATTAAATCTTTCTTGTTTAGTAACTTGTACCTCAGGCTTTATGTTTTATATTTTGCCGGGGGAGGGAGGGGGAAGTTCTTGCAGTTGCATTTGAATGTGTATGTTTTCCACAAGCACAAATCTGCGGCAGCACACAAAAACAGGCTTTCACAGTGGATATGTTCTTTGGTTAGATCTTTAACAAACTGGAATACTTGGAGATACTATGGTACACATCTATTCAGAAAAGTGACTGCTTAATAGCACCACCTTATTTTATCATTTTGATTCTCTGTTTAGATGTGTATCTTCTCTCTTTTTTCAAGTTTGTATTGCTCTTCTTGAGTGTGTGAAGCAGATTCTGCTTCTTTTTGCATACTTTTTCACTCCGTTGTACTTACATAGTTGAGGTTTCACAGAAAGCACCAAAAGCCTAATTTCACCTGTACAAATTGTATTACTTGGGGCAATATGTGATGGAAAGATCTCAGTTTGTATTTTAGATCCCAAATAAGAGTTTTCTGACAGGTAGAAGAACCAGCTTTTTGCCTGTAAACTGAGTATATTTTAAATGAAGAAAAATGAGGCACAATAGAAATAGAATACTACAATGTCCTTTGTGCGGTGCCACTGTTTAGGATATAAGTGTACTTAAAATGTAGCGGCTGAAGGAATGTGGTTTCTTTTTGTTAGAAACATTTTAAATGAAAGACTTTTCCAATAGTACAGCTTGGCAAACATGGAGAAGAGGCAGCATAATTTATAGCAACTTAGCCTTTAATTTTCAGATTGGTAAAAATCACAAAGAGCCTTTTGTAGAAGCAACCCCATGATGTGCTGGCTTCCTAACTGTGAATGGAGATCCAATCATAATAAGAAAGGCTATAGAAGTTTGAGAACTACATTGGCCCATTTTGTCCTCTCAAACTCCACCAATCTTTGCAGTTCCTAAGCATGTAGAGCACTATAGAGAGTCCTGAGGAGTATGAGGCATGTTTGAACTAGGCTTAACTGGATGCAACAGACTTGTATTGTTGCTTACATCTTTGGAAAAGGACATTTTAGGCAGTTCAGAAGGGATAACAGAACAGGAAGCATCACAGATACAAAAGTGCAATAACTTTCATGAGTTATTAGATTACATAAAATAAATATATTATTAATTTGGGGAGAGATGTTGATCTTTTAGAGAACTGTCACATGCAATATAGTGTGTTGTAGCTGTGGAGCAATTTCTTTAGAAAAGCTTAATTTAAACGTAAGTAGAATGTGCTTCCATTGAAAACAGCCACCATTTTGCAATGAGAAAGCAAGATCAAAGGGGAAATTTGGTACTAGCAATTGAATAGATGTTGTGTGTAGCCAGTAATTAGAGGATTTAATGATAGAATGTGGGTATAGGGAGATTAGATACCTAGTCTTTCCTAGTCTTAGCTGAGTGACACATGGGGAAAAAAAATCCATGACAAAACAAAATTTGTACAAAACAAAGTGGCCTTATTTTTCTCAGCTAAACATGAGAAACAATAAAATGATCCAGGCTCTGGGCTTGGCACTTTTATTCAGTGAAAAGGCAGCAGAGTTTGTGGAAGTATTGCTTTAATTTTCAAATGAGTAAAAATCACAAAGACCTCCATTTTTGTATAAAGGGCCTCATGTTGCACTGGCTTCCTGACGTTGAGTGGAGGTCTACATAGATCACACACAGAAAATTGTCAGATTTAGTTTGTTCTTGGAGACCTTGTCTGCACTGGCCTGTTATTGGGAATTGAACGTAGACAGCCCCTCACAAAATTAGTACCAGGATGGCCATTGTTTTAGATTTACATTTCTGAGCTGCAGGTGATCTCTTTAGGTTTCCAAATAAATTTTTCAGAAAATGTTATACAGTATTAAATGATGAGGAAGTTGATGCAACAGTTTAGAACAGGGTTGGCCAGCCTGTGGCACACATGCTACAAGTGGCATGGGCATGCGCTGTGCTTAGTGCACAGTAGCTCAGCAAGGGGAAGGAAGCAGGGCAGCAGTTGAGCAGAGGGTGGGTTTATCTTGTGGCTTGTCTGCCAAAAACATTGGCCATCTCTGCCTTAGACGTTGGGCACCATACCCTTTGGAGGGAGCCTAATCCAAATCATAGCATGGTCTTCTGGGACATATTTGTTTTCCTCTTTGCAAAAATATTACAGTTGTTTCTAAAAGATTTTATTACTTGACCTAATCTTCATATCAGTTATGTAAATTAAATTTACAATTGTCATACTCCAAAGCAACCTTGAGAAGCACTCTTACTCCATTAATTAAATGGAAACTATTTACCTGTTGTTTTTTGTATAGTCCTTCCAACAACTAGTACAGACCGTTAAAGCTATTAATTCCATCTTTATATTTTGTTTGAAGTATAATGTTAAAACTGCTGTTGACTTAATTTTTTTAAATATTTCATACAAAGTACTAAATTGTCAACCACCTTTGTATCTCCAAGTTTTTCATGTCTGATCCATGTCTTTTTCTGCTTTGAAAATATTTTGGAGCCTGACTGTGGCTTTTTGTTGTTGTTCATTATCTTTCACAACACTCAGCACATTGGGTGTCTGTACACGTGCTCCAACGCACTCTGTTAAGAACGCACTGGAGCAGACTTGATTAATCAGGACAAAAAAAAGAATCGAATCTGCTAGAGTGTTCTAATTAGAATGCTGCAGCATTTCATATATTCAGCATCCTGTGTTTCAGAATGGCAGTGGAGGGCACTTGAATGCTTGTTTGATGAGCTTTAGTTAAAGCACCCCTGCTGCCATTTTGAAACATGGGGTTTTGAATACATGAGATGGTGTGGCATTTTAATTAGAATGGCTCCTGAGAGCCTCTCTAATTAAAATGCCTCACTACCACCACCCTGGAGTGTGTGTATAGGCACCTGTTGATTCATAGCAAGCAGTGGTTAAGGATGCTGATCGCACTCTTTCGTGACTGTCCACTGCCTACTCTTCATTCAAACCACTTTTAAGAACTCACTTTCTCTAAGGCTCGCAAGAAGCGTCAATATGACTAAAACTTTTTAAAAAAAGAAAGAAAAAACACTGGTACTCTTCTCAGGCTTCCCATTGTACACTGTGTACTCTTTCTCATTTAGAGGATAGGTTCTTTGGGGCTGGTAGAGACCTGAGGAGGTCATCTAACCGCCTGCTCAAGGCAGGATCATCCCCGTCTAAACTATTCCAGATGAGGTTTTGAACAGCCTGCACTTGAAAGCCTCCAGTGATAGAGATTCTGCTACAAACCTGCTAGGTCAGAGGTTCCCAAACCTTTTCTTAATGCATACCCCCTTCCAGATTTACCAGCTGCTTGCATACCCCTACCAGCATACAGCTTATATTTTAGCTCCTTAAATGCCAATTATTATTATAATGAAAATTAGATTTGCCATTACACACTATCTCTCATGTACCCTCCAGAGAGGTCTTGTATCCCCCCAGGGGCACGCATACCACAGTTTGGGAACCCCTGTTCTAGGTAACTTGCTCCGCTTCTTAACCACACCCAGAGTTAGAAAGTTCTCTGAATATGCACTGTAAATTTCCCTGGTTGCAGTTAAAACATTTTTTGTCCTGTTCCTTGTGGACACGGAGGAGAATCTATTGTCTACCCTGTTTGTAACAATACCATTTTTTTTTTTTTTTGTATCTGCAGACTGTTATTAAATCCCTCCCCTCCTCCTCCAAGTCAGAATAAATAGCCCCAATTCTTCCACCTCCTCTTACATGTTAAGCTCTGTAGACCTATAATAATCTTTTTTGTTGCTTTTCACTGGACTCTTTCCAATTTGTCCAAATCTTTCTTGAAGTGTGGTACCCAAAAGGAGACATGGGACTCTAGGTGAGGCCTTATCAGTGCTGAATAGAGTGGAAAATCGCTTCCCATGTTCAGTAATCAAGACAGCTTCAATTCTTAACCTAATTCTGAGCAATAGGAATCTGGGTAATAAATTCTAATGCAAGCACATTGATAATTTTATACTTGGTGGGATAATATTAAGAAGTCCACTTTCCCATCACCCCACAGTCATCACATAGAGCAGTGGTTCTTTTGCTTAGTAAAAACAGTGCTGAATTGACACTTACCTGCTGTGTTAGTAGAGGAAATGAATTGTTTTCTATTCCCTAAATCTGCATGAGGCAGGTTGTTTCCAAATAAATTCATATATGAGGGCGAGACTACAATGGAAAAGGATTAATAAAGGGTTATGAACTTCAGTTCTTGAGTGTTACTCCATTTCATTTTGTAAGGCAAAAACTGCACTGTGATCTTGTCTGATATGATTAACATGAAGAGCCAAGAAAACTTACCTGATTAGAATAACTAAGTAATATTGCCAAGCTTGTATTCCCAGAAGGCAGGAAAAAAGGGGCCATATGAGTTTCTGAGTTATGGAAAGTACTGAGAAAATAGATGTTAAAATGTGCTTTAGGCAGTTTGCTGAACAATACATTAGGGAAACTTCCAAGTCTACATAGTGATTACCCGATCGCTGAACATATTATTTAATTGTAGAACCACTTATATTCCATCTGTATTTCTCAAACCCAATCTTTCCAGATGTCTCAGACCAGTTTTATAGGCACCAGACACATTAGGGAACAAAAGGCTTTCCAATATATACTCATATTATCAAACATAGTTGCTAACTCTCACCAATATCAAATGTGCATCACATGTTAAATCCACGTTCCAATATTGAATCCTTTTGTTAGCAGTTTGTGACTTTCATAACTCACTCTAATTCTTCAGAGGTCTCAGATATTGTCAGTTTCTAGGGTTTAATAATCAAAACTGTCAAACGCACAAATTATTTTCAAACAAAGTGATCTCTGAAGGGTTCCATGTAATTATTTTACACATGTTTTAATGAAAATGGCTTTACAATTATACATTTCCTTCCCTCGTTGAGTCACTGATTCATGCTGTTGTGGGGGAGTTTGTGCCTAGGAATTTGCTCTTGAATTGCTTTTCAGCATGGCTTGGGGGAGGGTGGCAAAAGGATGTCCCCTTCTCGAACTTTGTCAGATAAGAGAGGAATCCAGGAATTGTACACGTTGTACTTGGACCCAAGTCATGTTAGTCCTTTGAGTAACAGGTTCACATATCCGGAGAGTTTCTTTCTTTGCCTCTTCTTTCAGTCTTTTCCTTTCAGAACCATTTTAGAACTTCTTTTCAGTCCCAAGGGCTGTAGCCAACCATCCTAAAGCTAATTATTTTACCTGCAACACCTAACTTTAGAAATGAAGTATGTACATCAGGGTTTCTTCTCTTTTTTGCTACATAAAAAAATATTTTACTCTGTCTTCTACAAGTGAATTTAAACTATATGAAATTAATTTAAATTATGTTTTATATGTAACATTTCCATGACCCCTACGTATCCCCTACCAGGCACACACAAAGAGTATATAATACTTAGATATCTGTATGCAGTTTGAAAGAGCCAAGATAAACCTCAAAGAAGGAAATGCTGAAGGATTCATAAATAAAGTATTGTTGGTTGTTTGCTAGAAGAGAGAAACTCCATGAACCTAATGCTGGAATATGATATAGGAACTGTTAAAGGCCATAAAATAGATGGTAGGTATTTATGGGAATGGTATACAGGAGATTAAAATGTACTAAAATACCTATTAAAGAGCAAGATGGAAATGTTGTGTGCTTCACAATCTCCTATATGATGTTACTAAATAGTTCATTCAATTTCCTAACTTTTTCAGTATTAATTAGTATTAATATTCAATATTAATGCAGGTATGATACTATTACACTGGCATTGTCCTCAAATCATTGTAATTTCCATTTCTCTTTGTCCCAGCACTCCAAACCAATGAACCTTCATATAATTGGTCATCTATGAACAGTAAACACCTAGTCTCATAGTTACAGATATGGGAAATGTGCCTAAATTGATACGTCATTATCATTAATATTGAGTTTATTAAATAAGAGATAAGACAAATGTGTTCCTTCCCCAAAAAGTTTACCATATTTAAGTGTTTTAAAAAATACACCTCATTTCTCTTTCCATTATGCTAAATAGTTTGCAAGTCAGAAGATGGAATGAAAGTGTTGCCATAATCCCATGAGACTTTCTGGGGGAGTTTTTGGAAAGGACAAAATGGATATTCTTCTTAAAACTTTTTTTCCATCCTGGGTTCCAGACACCTTTTCTTATTTACAAACCAAAAGTTTTAATATGAGAGGCTCAATGACACATTCATCAACAATTGAACCAGAGCCATAGACCAAGCTTTTTTGTGTTTAACCATATCTTTTGTAAACTGAACAGTCCATTTGCATGTGTCAGAAAGGGTTTGGCAAAGCACTATAAGCATGTGCTTTGTTTTGAGCATATGAATAGTCTCACTGAAGCTAATGGGACTAGGACTGACTGCTTTGCTGGGTCAGGGCGTAACTAGAGAATGATCAGGCATAGAGTTGGAAATATCAGCTTGCTCAGGTTTTCTTTTCCCTCAACTTTCCAGTATTTTTGAATCTTATTACCTTAACATCAAACATGTGCAGACTGTGAAAAAACTTATACGTTCTCTCTCCCTCTTTTTTTTAAGTTTCTAACATATTAAAAATTCAAAACAAACTAATTTTGTTTTGGCCTCTTGTGTTTTATCCCAGAAATTGGCAGTCAGAAATTTTACAAATACAACCAGGAGAAGACATTGAGGTGGTTAAAGAAAAAGGTATTTCTGTTTTTATTTCAAAATGCCTTTAAGTTCAAAATCATTAAACATTTAGTAATGTGTCAACATCGTTAGAATAGTGAAAAATGAGTAAATTGGAAGTCCTTATCCAGTTGAAGAAAGGCAGGTGCTGTATCAAAGTAGTTACTTCAGAATGGGACAAGTACACGGTATGAAGTAGTAAAGAAATACAATATTTCTAGAGAAATTGTATTTAATTGGGTGTTGACTGTATCTGGCTTCTGTACAGGTGCCTAAAGGTTGAGGAAAGGCTACAGTCACTGTTCCAATGCTGTCCTTAAGTTTATCTGTGCTATTGCCCCTTGAAGTTCTGGGTCAGGCAGGGTCATAACCATTTCACCCTCCCCAGTGCCTTCCAGCAGGTAAACCTAGCCAGGTAGTCAGGCAAAGCACACTTTGAACCCTGCTCCAGTTATGTATTCCCTGTGAGATCTCTAGTTGTTGGGGCAGTGGAGTGATGCACCTGCTGAAAAATGGGCCTGTCCAAATCTTCTATGGCACACTGAAAAGAAATGGTACTGGTACAGTTATGTGCTCTTGCAGTCTTCTGCCCACAAAAGAACTAAGTCCCTAAAATGGAATAGATTGTTGTGTCAGTACATCAGGGAAACTGATTAGGTCTCAGTTGCTCACATGAAGTGAAGGAGCCTTAAAAAATGTAATCACAATTTACACACCCAACCACAAAATCTGTACTCCAGCTCCTGTCATAATGATGGGCAAAGCAATGATGTTCTTTCCTGTTGAGAGAAATTATTTGTTTGGGTTGAGAGGAATTTTATGAGGCTGGCTTAAAGGGAAATTGTCCCTAGAAAAAAACATTATGGATCCACATCTCTATTTTATGATTAATGCCTGAATATTTATGCTTTAACAGGTGCCTACAGCATTGTAATGGGACCCCCATTCTGTCTCTCTTTCATGTTGAATCCAATAATGTCAGTGTCTGGTCTGACTTGGTTGAGTCTGTCCTTGTTCCTGACCCCATTCACATTCCGAAAGAACCTGCATGTTCCTTATTCTCCTAGCAGGTGGAAAAATCACCTGTAAAATCCTGGCTGCTCCATCTGTAAATTTCAGTTCATCCCAGTGGTGCTGCAAATCTGACTGCCACGTTTCAAAGGCAGTAGGCTGGATATACTAGAGACTTAATTTTTTGAGATCATATGCTAGTCATTACAAACATATATCGGGTTTCATTGCAGTTCATAACTTGAGTGTTTTATGTGCTTTAAACAAAATTACAAGGGCTTTGTCACTGCATTAACACAAGTGTATGACAACACTGATGCAGACATTTCAATCTGTGGCTTCTTATAGGTCAACCAGACAGTGAAAGTACTTAAAGGCAGCAACGTATGTGTTGGTGGAAGGGTGCAGTCAGCTACATTTATCAGCAGTAAACAAATCACAGATGCTGAAGGTAAGAGAAGAAAGTATGGTTGTAATGAGCTATCTCTTCATGAAATAAGATGCCTGCAATTAGATGGTAAGTTAGATTCCAGAAATCTTTTAAAATGGTTTGCAGTCATCTTTTGAAGCATTTCTTGTAAACGTGTTCTTAGTCTGTCATCACTATAAGTGGGGCCACAACTGTTTTGAGTTCTGTAGTACTTGAAATAAAGTCCTGTATAAGCAGTCAGATGCATTGAAGAAAGTGTTTCTGGGTAACTTCTATTGAGATCTTAGTGAAGAATGCACTTGCTCAATTAAGCATTCACTTAAATGTTTTGCTGGCTTGGTATCCCATTCCTGTGTGGTATTTATGTATACATAGGTGGATAAATAGTGTGGATAAGCACAGTTACCGTACATATGATATCATATCAAATATATTATTTGGTAATCTATGTAATATTTAATACGTTTATGTAATTTGATACTGAATGTATATAAAACCACAATATACAGCTGTGCAGCTTCCATGGAAAGCTTATGACACTTGTGTTTCTATGTCATGCAGATGATTTTGAAACTCTCATCATATCAAGTAGTTTATTACTACCCAAGTCAGTGGGTAGAGGCCATTTAAAATTTTCCTTTTTAGCTTTTGGTCCTCTTTGTCTTAAGAAAGACGGCTCCTTGGACAGGTTGGAATCTGAAGTTGACTAACTGAGCCCTTCAAAAACAGGCTATAATGAAGAAAAGCTAAGGAAGCTTAAAGACCATAAATTCAAATTTGGAGCAAGTCAGAATAAATGATTCAGATTACTCAGAGGTCCAAAAGTCTGTATATAGCGTAACAAATAAGGTAATATTGTCAGACTCACTGCATTCTGAGTGCTGATGAAGTGGAAAACAAGTTGCCAGGTAATGACACCAAAGGAACAACAGAATTTGAGAGAGAGCTTGGACAGCTTTATTAGGGGATTGTAACACATAGTTTCAAAGAGGGAGATGGGATTGAGAAATATAAAAGTGCCTTTAACTTTACAATAACTTTTTATCACTTAGGAAATTAATCTGTTTTGACTGTGGCAAGCTTTACAAAAATTTAACCATTACTTTCTGCACGTTTCAATAAACTGACCAAGCTCTTCCTTCTTTTTGCCTAAAAGAAAAGAGTAGCCTTTATCACAGCTTTACAATTAGAAAAAGCTTAGATTTCGAAGGGGGGAAATATTGTGCCTTAAGAATAGGTCACATTTGCAAGCAGTGGGGTGACAGGTGCTGTGGTGCGGGGGGGAGGCAGTGGAGCATGTGGGGGGCTGACAGCTTTCTTCCAGCTGCTTGTTCTAAACTTTATTCTCCCTTGGCTGCCCCCTATACACAGCTGGCACCGCTGCTGTGGGCCTGGGCTGGGGTTGTGCTCCAGGCTGCAGTTGGAACAAAGCCTGCTGGTGCTAGAACAAGGGTATGTGGGGCTGGAGTGGGAGAGGCAGGAATGGCATAGGCAGGAGATGGGGGACTTGGGGGCCCAAAGCTTTAGATGGTGCAGAGGCAGTTGGAGGGGGGAGGGCAGGTAGCAGCTGTGGTTCTGGCCCTAACACGGAGCTGCAGCAACTGCCTCCTTTCCCCACCCCCAACTTTCCCCTGCCACTCATACTTGATTCCAAGACAAGGGGCTTTTTTCCCGATGTTAAATGGCGGGAGGAGATGGAGCTCTTCCTGGAAATGAGTAAATATGGTAAGAGGTCAGCAGAACCTTACCCTATACTTATTTCAGAGTATTGCAGAAAGCTTTACCTCTATGTAAATTCAGCTGCCTGGTCAGCGGTTACAATGAGGTAATAGCATCAGTAGATGAATTGAATGAAGAATTTGCTTGTTGTAGCATCTCAATGTTTTATTAGCGTTGGGAGTCAAATTAGACTAGAGAAAAGAGGTGAGACTTGGATGATACTTGCTAGTAGGGAAACTAGTCCAGATGGCTCAAGTAATGTGGGAGAAGTCTGTTGGGGAAAGACAAAATAGGGAGGTCCTGTGACATTTGAGAAACAAAGAAAGTGGTCTCAGTAATTGAAGAACTAATGACAAGTTAAAGCAAAGAAGTTTTAGGGTGGAAGGAGGAAGTCCTGGAAGCATAGGTGTGCTATATTTTTAAATGGGGAAGCTAGTGAAGATTTCTAGAGGGTAGGGGTAATAAGGTCTCCTTTCTGGGTATGGATTGCAGGAATAGTCAACCTAACATCATAATTCAGCATCATAAATAGAAAAGCAAAATGGCAACAGCATTTCTGTTTAGGTATAATAAATGCTGGGGTGAAGTTCAGTTTCAACGTGTTGGATTTGGACTGCTCCTTTATGGTTTTGGATCCTGATGTGGGTTTGGAGCCTAGGAAATATTTGAGAAACAAATGTGCATTTTTCCTTTTTTCTGTAAAGCATACAGAAAATTGGTGCCAATATTGCTGAAATGTACACTCTGGGGCCAGTTCATTAATATTTTCTGTTTTTAGACCAATTTTCTTTGTGCTGTTATGATTAAAAATGCATATAACAGCTTGCAAGAAACTCTGTCTGACCCGGGAGAGAGAGGTCTCGCTATTTTAGGAGCTGGTTTACCATTCTCATTTATATTCTTCATTGCATGTTTGCTTTCTGAGAATACTGAGTATTATGCATTTTTTGGGGTTGACAGACTCCTTAGACAGGCGAGGGATGCCTAAGCTGGGGATTGCAGTAGATGACCTTCTGACATCTCTTCCAGCCCAATTTTTCTCTGATTCTGTACGTGCACATGCAAAATGTGCCAGGCTGCTTTACAGTTGTATCACAGGCAAGATACTGACATGAGATCTGATCCTGTAATAACACATGCAAATACAGTTGCTCACAAGCAAGCCCACTTACATCAAGTAACCAGCTTGCATAAGTGTTTATAGGATCTGGACCTCAGTTTGCAAGTACTTGCGGGGAACGTGACAGAGAAAGATGTTTTAGGACTTTGTGTTACAAAAGGTTTGATTTCCAGAAAAACATTTATAGCAGGAGTGGCCTGTTCTGAAAACAGCTTCTAGTAGTTCATATTTCCACAGATAATTATCCTGTCTTGCCAGTGATGTTTAGATAGGCCTTGACATTTTCCATAAAATACTGACATTAAGAACAAGACTTTGAAATAGACTCATTGTCTCATCTAATTGTTTTCAGTTGAAGCCAGAAATATATTTTAGTACTGAAACCTTTGCCAAATAATTGTAGGATCCAGATGCTTTAAAATTAATGATTACATGTTCTGTTGAGTCAGCCTTTTACTTTTGCAGGTTTTTTTTAAATTAATTTTGTAGCAAAAAAATATGTGATATTTAGTATTCTCAGAAAGCAAACAGGTTTTGTGGAGTACGTGCCATGAAGAATAATGTGCCAGCAAAGCAAACAGACTAATTCCTTTTACAAACTGTTCAACACAAAAAAACCATCATTGATCTATTAGTAGTCTTTTAGCGTGAGCCCATCCTTTTAGTGTGAGCCCATCCTTGTGGATTCTGCGTACATAGAAGGGAATGGTTTGAATGATGGACACATAGGCATGTAATATGGATGTTCTTTTACCTTTCCCCCTTACTCTCTCCCCTTCTTCTCCCAGAGGATTATCTACGCTATGCCCATGGGTTAATATCAGAATATATTCCTGAAGATCTGAGTTTGGAGTTGTCAAAATACTTACAGTAAGTATTTTTTTAAATGTTTTTTCTAGAGTATTTTGCAGTAAATTAAGTGATGCAGTCTTAACCATGAGATCACAGTAAAATAAATAGATTTTACTTATCTAGCAACAACAAAAAATAATAAATGTGAATACATGCGAGTTTTCTTTTTCAAGAGAGCAGACTGCATTCTATTCTTGGTTGGTGTTGTTTTGATGGTGGAAAACAGCAATAATAATAATAATGCCAGGTGACTCTTACATGGAACTTTTAGTGTAGTTCTCAAAGCATTTTGCAAAAGAGATCAGTATCATTGTCCCTAGTGTAAAGATATAGAGAGAAGTGAAGTGACTTATCCAAAATTCATTCAGCTTGCTAGTGGCAGAGTGAGGAATGGAACTGAGATCTCCCATGGCACAGTCCTAGGTGCTGTCTTCTCCCCACCCCGCTTTTTCTAAAACTCAATTTCAAATTAACCTATTTTGCTTCATATTTAAATTGAAAAATTAGAGCTGGGCTAGGAACTTTATCCTGTTGCTCACTCTAAGTAGAGGGTGATTGGAGTCTTTCTGGGACTCTGCATACAAAGAATATTCTGCCTTTGTGCAATGAACTGTGGTAGCAAGGCCTAAGAGTACAATACCAGTTCACATGTCAGAGGGTTAGAGCTTGAAATAGGTTCTTGCAGTTCAGACCCTGGATTTTCAAAAGGGACTAGAGATTTCATGATCAAAGGGCACCATTTTGGGTGTCCAGCATGAGACACCTTAGAAGGGCCTGAGGTTATGAGGGCATTTTCTCAGGACTTTTTGAAATTCACTTTTTGGCAAACTTGGCCAAAACCTTTAATAGGTCATAAATATACTGTTAAAGTTAAATATTTTGAGGGTAACAGATGGAATTAGTATTGATGCACTGTTGTTGAGAAAGGAATGATGTTTTAAGCTAACATATTCAAAACTTATACTCAGTTATTTTGTTTGGTTTCTGTGTGAAAACTTTTAACTCAGACTCTTTCATTCCCTAGGCTTCCAGAACTTGCAAGTTCCTCAGCAGAGCCCCCATTGAAGGTAGGAGGATATTAAATGGAGGAAATTTAGCCACCATACCAAGAAAACCTTCTTGGAGAGATCTGTACCACTGTGGGCTTGTTTCTCATCAGTTCAATTAAAATTAGGCTTGGCAGAGCATTAGAAACTATATTGTAAAACGACAAAATGGCACAATTGTAGAGCTGGTCAGAAGTACTGGGAAATTACAAGTGTGAAGTATTTTTCTAGTTTTAGTAATCATAACTTCAGTCATCTTCACAATCTGGTAAAAATGGAAGTACTGTAGTTTTTAACAGCAGTGTTTCCCATTTTTTAGAAAAGGAAACAAATCAGTGTGGGTTGATCAGATTGTATGACCTCATTCATCTTTTTCATAAGGTGGACACTGAAAAGGGACCTCTCTGGTCATAGGGAGCAGTCCTTGGCAGTCATGGTCCCCATGCCATATAATCCTTCTCTTAAATTTATCAAGGCTTCATCTTGAAATGCTAAACTGTTTGTCATGGGTTCATAGATATAGGATTGGAGGGGACCTGAGCAGATCATCAAGTCTGACCCCCTGCCCTGGGCAGGAATGAATACTGGGCTCATATGACCCCTGGTAAGTTTAAGTTCATATGACCCCAGCTAGGTAGTTATCAAGCCTCCTTCTAAAGACCCCTAAGGTAGGAGCCAGCACCACTTCCCTTGGAAGCTGGTTCCGGATCCTGACTACCCTGACTGTGAAGTAGTGCCTCCTGATGTCTAGCCTGAACCTACTCTCAATCAACTTATGGCTGTTATTCCTTGTTACTCCAGGAGGCGCTCAGGGGAACAGGGTCTCACCCATTCCCCTCTGGTCCCCCCCTGGTAAGTTTATAGACAGCCACTAGATCCCCTCTCAGCCTTCTCTTGTGAAGGCTGAACAGGTTCAGGTCCCATAGCCTCTCCTCGTAGGGCCTGCCCTGCTGCCTCCTGATCATACGAGTGGCCCTCCTCTAGACTCTCGTGATGCTGGACACATCCCTCCTGAAGTGTGGCGCCCAGAACTAGATGTAGTACTCCAACTGTGGCCTGATTAGTGTCGCACAGAGGGGGAGGATCCCCTCCTTGGACCTGCTCTTGATGCATCTGTGGATGCATGACAAGGTGCAGTTAGCCTTGCTGACTGTGTCCTCACGTTGGCGGCCCATATTCATCTTGGAATCAATAATGACTTCAAGATCTCTTTCTGCCACTGTGCTTGCAAAAAGGGAGTTCCCCAGTCTATAGGTATGCTGCTGGTTCTTTCTGCCCAAGTGCAGTACCCTGCACTTGTCAGTATTGAATCCCATCCTATTCTCATCTGCCCACCCCTGTAACCTGTCCAGGTCCAGTTGTATCCTGTCCATCCCTTCTAGTGTGCCCACCTCGCCCCAAATCTTGGTGTCATCGGCGAATTTGAACAGGGTGCTTTTCACCCCCTCGTCTAAGTTGCTAATAAAGAATTTGAACAGTATGGGCCCAAGGATTGAGTCCTGGGGGACTCTACTGCCCACCTCCCTCCAGGTTGAATATGACCCATCCACCACCACTCCCTGCATGCGACTCTCTAGCCAATTTGCGATCCATCTGATTGTGTAGGCATCAGTGCCACAGTCACCTAGCTTTTTAATGAGAATGGGGTGGGAGACAGTGTCAAAGGCCTTCCTGAAGTCCAGAAAGACTACTTCCACCACGACATCTGCATCCAGTGATTTTGTGACCTGATTGTAGAAGGCTGTCAGGTTGGTCTGACAGGACCTACCCTTAATGAACCCATGCTGATTGCCCTTGAGCATCCTCCCCCCTGCTGGTCCCTCACAGGTGTGCTCCTGGATAATTTTCTCAAAGTGCTTCCCCAGGGCTGAAGTAGGACTAATGGGCCTATAGTTGCCTGGGTCCTCATTCCTCCCTTTTTTGGGGCCCACGTTGGCCTTCTTCCAGTCTTCTGGCACCTGGCCAGAGCACCACACGTGCTCATAAAGCCATGCCAGGGCCCCTCAATAACCCCTGCCAATTCCCTCAGCACCTTAGGGTGGAGAGTGTCTGCACTTGCTGATTTGAACACGTCCAGCCCCTACAGAAGATCCCTAACTCGATCCTCACTGACCCTGCTACTTTTGTTGGAAGGTTGTTTCAAAACTGCACTCCTTGGCTCATTAGAAACCTTCATATTTCATGCTTAATTTTATTCATAGCCAGTGTCTAACCATCTCTTCTTATGCCAGAACTATGCTTTAGCTTAAAAGCGTTACTCTCACCCTGGTAAAGTTTAAAAAAAAAAAAAAAAGTTCTCTCAACCTTTACTTTGCCAGGTAAAAAAGGACCATGGTCTTTTAGTCTCCTGCAAGATAGGATCACCATTTTTCTGCTCATCCTCGTAACCCATCTTGGCATCTCTTCCATTCATTTTCATCTGTCTTTGAATAGATGAACAGATTTGTACACCACTAATCCAGATGAGGTTCTCACCAATACCTCGTTCAGTGGCAATAATTGTTCCTTGTGTTCACTAGAAATAATTTCCCCGGTATGTCCTTTGACTTCTTCACAGTTGCATCACTTTGATAATTCAGTCATTCTGCAGTTGACTAGAATACCTGAGGTTGTTATACTTTTGTTGTTTCCAACTTCTGAACTCTTGTTCTTGTATTCTGTAAGTGCATAACCTTACCCATTCACACTGCTAAAGTTTATCCCATTCTCATTAATTTAGACCTCAAAGTGGCCCATTTGTTCTAGTACAGTGTTTGATTTCTGCACTGTATTGCCAGTGCCTTCCAATTTTGTGTCATTGCCAAATTTCAGTAGCACATCCTCATTTTTTCAGTTGAGATTATTAAGAATAATACTTTACAGAGCTATACTACTAACAGACCTTCGGCTTACTCTAATGCCTCTTTCTGCAGAACTTGTCATTTACCCTTTAACTAGTTCCTTACTCACCATACAGTTCTTCTACTAATCTCCATCTAAACTAGTAATTTCTCATGTAACACTGTATCAAAGGCCTTTCTAAAGTCCAGATATGTTAGATCTGCTACATTTCCCTGGTCCATGAAATCTAGTAATCTTTTTCAAGAAACATTACTGAGTAAGTCTGGTATAATCCACCTTTGTTTAACCTGTGTTGGTTTGTGTCGGCCCAGACTGTGACCACTAAACCCGGTCGCGACATGGCGTCACAAACAGGATCCAGGGGAGGTGAGATGGAGTCAGAGCTGATCCGCCACTGCCCATGGCACAGTGGGGAGCGTCCCATGACTGACTCGGACAATCTGTGGGCACACATTGCCTACCACCAAGCGGCTGGCCCAGCCCCGGCCACAGTAGCCGGGTACATTTCCCTCCAAGAGAAAAACGCCAGTGGGAAGGAGTGGGCCATCCAACTAGCCCTGAGCTCCTTCGGGTGTGTGAAGAGCCATCCTACCGTCATTTACCGCCCCCGGGAAGAAGTCGGTTCCCTATCCTTCAGCCGCGTGAAGCCTGCGGGCGCGGCGAACCTCAACCCTGCCCAAGAGTTTAGCCGATCCATCCGGCACGTACGGGAGGAAGGCGAGAGTACCCCTCCGGACAAGTTCAACTGTCCAAGCCTCCCGCAGGGGTCTAGGGGGCACAAATTGCTGACCCAGCTTCACGAGAGCTTGGAGTCTGATGGGCAGACTGCCACAAAGTGGTCTGGCCCAAAATGGGACAAGGGAAAAACGTTCTGTGCCTTTACCGGCCTGTTACGAGAGAATGCAAACTTAGAAATTCAGTTAAAAACTGTTAGCCAAGCCGCAGTACAAAACGCAGCGGTGCTGCTGCCCCAAGATGGTGCCGGCAAAAAGGAGAAGCTGAGCAAACTGGAAATCTCCGAGAAGAAAATCGCGCCACCACCCGCCTGGAGCCCACCTTCTCCTACAGCGCCGCCCACACCGTCACCACTGCCATACGCACAGCCACACCCAGGAAGGACGGAAGTCATGAAGGTCTACAAAACCGAAAGTGATACAGAGGAGTCCATAGAGCGGGACATTCTCTCAGCTTCACCAGGCGCTCCACCACCACTGTATCCTGATCTCGCAACGGCATTGCCTATCACAGTGCGCAAACATGTGACAGGCCAAGGGACACAAATTACTGTTACCTCGTGCACACACACCCAGGCCGAGATGAGAGACCTAAAGAGAGAGACCGGCATTAAACCTGAGGAGACTCCGATTGTCTGGCTCGGGCACCTAGTTGCGGAGGCGGGAAGCGAAACAGTCGACCAAGATGAAGCAATGCAACTAGTTCATAACGCCACTTGGAGCAGGGGGAAGGTAGTGGACCCTGTTCCAGTTCTCGCCAACACCAACTGGCCCATACCACAGTTATTCCACTAAGAAAAACAAATGCTGCAGCCATAATAACTGCATTGTCAAGTGCATTCGCCACATGGCAAATTCCAGCAGCCATTCAATCTGATGGTGGACCACCCTTTACTTCTGCAGCCATAGACAAGTTCGCCCGACTCCATAATATCAACTGGCACCACCATCTCCCGTACCACCCACAATCCAACGGAGTAGTAGAAAGAAAGGTTGGACAATACAAAGAAAGCCTCCGACTCAAAGGAAGCGGGAGTTATAAGAATTGGGTAAAACACAATCACGAAGTCCTCAACGCCAGAAAAGAACTCTGGAACGAGAGAGCTCCGCAAACCCCAAGAACCTGGACACCAAAGTTCACTCCAAACGAGCTAGTTTGGGTCACCCTTCCTGACCCCCGCCAACACCATCCACGAGTATTGAAAGGGACAGTTCGAACATCAGAAAAGTACCCCAACACATATCTAGTGTCCTTAGAAGACGGTGGACAAGACATCCTTGTTCACCACAACTGGCTAGTGAGATGGTCCCTACCAACCAACTAGCCCCAAAATTTTGTGTAGAAATTGTCTGTCTTGTTTCATTTTGTTTCAGCCCCGTGTCAACATGAAGCCGTTTTTCACCTTGCTTTTCCTCACCACCCTGACGGCAGGAAAGTGTGCAAAC